CGAGAAGTCACTTTTCCCAAGTCTTGAGAAGTCACTTGTCCCAAGTCTTGAGAAGCGCGTGTTCCAAGTCTTGAGAAGAGCGTGTCCCAAGTTTTGATAAGTCACTTGTCCCAAGTCTTGAGAAGTGCGTGTCCCAAGTCTTGAGAAGTCACTTGTCCCAAGTCTTGAGAAGTGCGTGTCCCAAGTCTTGAGATGTGCGTATTCCAAGTCTTGAGAAGTCACTTGTCCGAAGTCTTGAGAAGTCACTTTTCCCAAGACTTGATAAGTGCTGTGCCCTAGCCTTGAGAAGTCACTTGTCCCAAGTCTTGAGAAGTGCGTGTCCCAAGCCTTGAGAAGTGCGTGTCCCAAGCCTTGAGAAGTGCGTGTCCCAAGCCTTGAGAAGTGCGTGTCCCAAGCCTTGAGAAGTGCGTGTCCCAAGCCTTGAGAAGTGCGTGTCCCAAGCCTTGAGAAGTGCGTGTCCCAAGCCTTGAGAAGTGCGTGTCCCAAGCCTTGAGAAGTGCGTGTCCCAAGCCTTGAGAAGTGCGTGTCCCAAGCCTTGAGAAGTGCGTGTCCCAAGCCTTGAGAAGTGCGTGTCCCAAGCCTTGAGAAGTGCGTGTCCCAAGCCTTGAGAAGTGCGTGTCCCAAGCCTTGAGAAGTGCGTGTCCCAAGCCTTGAGAAGTGCGTGTCCAAAGTTTTGAGATGTCAGTGACCCAAGTCTTGAGAAGTGGGTGTCCCAAGTATTGAGAAGTGTGAGTCCCAAGTCTTGAGAAGTCACTTGTCCCAAGTGTTGAGATGTCACTTGTCCCAAGTCTTGAGAAGTTACTTGTCCCAAGTGTTGAGAAGTGCGTGTCCCAAGTCTTGGGAAGTCACTTTTCCCAAATCTTGAGTAGTGCGTGTCCCAAGTCTTGAGAAGTCACTTGTCTCAAGTCTTGAGAAGTCACTTGTCTAGACTTGGGTCGTGTGACTTCTCAAGACTTGGTACAGGTGAAGTCTCAACACTTGGGACAGGTGACGTCACAAAACTTGGGACAGGTGACTTCTAAAGTGTTGGGACAGGTAACTTCTCAAGACTTGTGACAGGTGAC